CGTACGCACAATTTAAGAACAAATCTGTGCGTACGAACGGTTCTTGCATGAGGCCCATTGAGTCTTTCACAGGATTCTCTGTTAAGGGCTCGACACACGGGGAGCGACAAACTACAGCGATTAACTGCTGTCATCGCAGCCAGGGTGACACCCGACACACGGGACGCGATAGCGATCGCAGCGTTGTGAATCGCGCTGTCAGGTCTCTTGTCTTCACAAAATTTGATTGGTTCTTAACTCTGAAGGCGGGTGTGCATTACGGACGTGTAAACTAAAAAAATCGCGATGCTAATTATTTTGAAAAACAAACGCACATCAAGATACAATTTTATGAGGAAAAACTTACCATAAACTTCACCCTGGTGCCAATAAATTCCCACAAAGCTTTTTAGTAATCACTTGGTGAAAGTGTTAGCTAACTACAGTGGGTAGCATACTCTCCTCTCATTGGTCAGTCAATGAAACCCTCGCTGACTGGTTGTACGTTAAGCGACAGCGACAAAAGTTGAACATTTTTCAACTTTCATTTGTCGCGTCGCAAGCTTGCATGTGCACGTCTACGTGTAAGAACGTGAAATTTCACATGCACTATTTTCGCCGGTCGCTTAGCTGGAGGAGGGCAAGCGATTGTCGCCTCACCGCACAGGCTCCATAGGAAATGAATGGAGAGCGAGYGACGTCGCCTCCCGTGTTTCAAGCCCTTTAAGCATGTATTTTACCAACAAAAAACAAAAACAGTTGAGATTCTATAATAATCTAAAACAATCTGTTAGTTCAGCTCCTTTGAGACGACTTCCACCTAAAATTCTGAACTGATAACGCTCTGGGCAGTTTCTACTAGACGTTATTTACTGATAACAAATACACAGATTACTACTATAAAATATTCAAACTATTCCTTTAACTGTGTTCCAGTTGCAAGTTGGAAAACAATTAGGTCACTGGTGACTGTGCTCTGTGACCAGGATAACTATTACTGGAAATACCAGCACAGCACAATGGATTTTTAAACACTCACACACTTTAGCAAGATGTCCTGTAACAGAGGTTGTACTACACAACTAATTTATAAAAATATAAGTGAAAAGTTGGACATCATCATGTTTGTGTGAGAGGCAATCATGTTGGATTTTTAGGTCAAAATTCTGACTCTGAGGCAGTCTAGAGTCACCAAATAATGCATTTTTCACTGGTCAGATGTGCTTTTAGACTAGAAATCTATGTGTTTAYGTTTTCTTTATTGCAGTACTTCTGTAAAACACAATCAAAACATCAAAACGTGGAGTAAATTTCTCAAGTGAGGGCCTGCAATTTCAAGTACTTTTTTGTGTGACCACAAAGCACAGAAAAAGGGGAGCTTACATGTTTTTCCAGAACATTCAGATGGAGTTCATCTTGATCTGAGAGTGGGTTACAGCCCACCTGCAACAAACACACATGTAAACACAGAAGTGGTCAAAATGTAAGCTTGGGCCACATGTCAGGGTTCATTTTATTTTGCCTACGCAAACTGCAACTAAATCAGTTCCTTGACTTTTTAGAAAAAGGAGGAGTGAAGGTGAGGATGTTATTGGAGGCATTCGATTTGTGCCGTTGACTAATTTCTCTTGAATTCTTTTATATTTGCCTGAATGCGAGTCAGTACTCACCAATACGACAGCAAGGACCTTGTTCCGATCTTGATCCAAGACAGGAATAACAACAGCTGAAAAGAAAAGCAAGAAAAAGTGAGCTCAAAGCACATGTTTCATTTATAAGGACAAAATGCTCCAGTCCTTTCATCAGCCGCCTTTAATTTTCTTCCCGTGTCCTTGTCTAGATATTCATCTGATTTTTCTCTTTGCTTTTTGTCTTAATACTAATAAAAACATCAAAGAAAAGAAATGCAGAAAAAAATACATTTATTTGATGCCCTTGAACAAGACCGTTTATTCTTTTCATTTGACGGCAATAATAACATAGAAAATGTGAAAAAGTATATCACCGAAGCGAGTGCTGCTGCATGTAGAGCGGATAATAAAGCAAGTTACTTCAATAACTCTTTTTCCGCATCATTATTACACGCTCATTGGTTTGCATTTATCCCCAGAGTGCAAAGAGGTTATGCATATGTATTTTACAACGTCTACATGCACCTCAGGTCTTTGTCTTCCTCTGCTGCTACTTTTAAAGAGAGCATGCTCATTTGAATAGTAATGAGGAGTCTGTTCATTTTGATCTTTTACATTTTTTTCCTTAACACAACMTTTCATTTCTTTATTCTTTTTGGGGGGGAGTGGGGGGTGGGGTATYTTGGCCAATATGTTGCCCACACAGATCCGTACCTCTCTCATTTGCAATCATCATCTCTTGTTCACTACTGCTCCCTCTATCTCCTGCTCTCGTTCAAACTTTGTTTTTACTCCCACGTATCGGTGCTTTTCTTTGTGCTCGCACATCCTCAAAGACACACTCAGAAATCTGTTTGTCTCTCCACCTGCATCAAACCAGTGCCCGTGTTCGTAAAAAAAAAAAAAACATTCAGCCACACCTCTTCTGTGTGCTGGTAACGGCGCTGCAAGGCAGATTCTGTATTTCTCCGGCAGCTCAGAYGGAGGAAGGCCAGCGCACTCGCATCTCTTCAGCTGCTCTGCAATGCTCCTAGAAAAGAGTTGAGTCAGATTTGGGTTAGAAAAAGACAATGAGAGAYGTGAAATCAATCTGAAAAACAGACAGTTTGTCTGATCGTGCAGAGACGAAGAGGAAGGAATGGAGAAAACAGTCACCAGTAATAAAAATCCAGATGTTCTTTGTTCATAGACACTAACCAAAACACTGCTGAATAGGGTTATTATTCAAAGTAAAAGGATACAAAATGTCTTTACCAGCACACAGGAGAGGTGCGGCTGTATGTTTTTTTTGTGTGTATGTATTTGTATAACCAGATGTGAAAATGGCAAATACGCATGCTATATCAGTAAGAATGTAGCTTAGCTTTTTTAATGGTGAAACATGAGACAAGTCACTGGCGCATGTGTAAAACACACCCAGACTTGTYAAATGAATATGGAAATGAAAAGTCAAAGGAAACAAAGCAGTTTCACTTGAGCACATGGGCAAGTTCAACATCAATGTGCCTGACATAATAATCAGCTCACAGTGGACACACACACACGCGCACACACACACACTCCATTACGTGCTCACAGAGTCTGAAATCTCGCCTCCGAACCGTTGCAGCAAAGTCTCWGCATGGTGCATTGATTTCAAAGAGTCCGTTTATTTCAGCTCACCCAGGAACCATCCACTTCAATCAGAAAACATTCTATTGTGGCAAATACATTTGACCTTTGTGTAATGTATTTGTTCAAAGCCGCTCTCCAGCACAATCATGAAACCTATTCAAACAGGGCGCAGCAAAGAGCAAAGAACAAACAGAAGCAGTGAGAACAATAGATGCTTAGTGATGCCTGTGCACAATGTGTAGAGTCAAGCTAATCAACAACACAAAAATTGCTTAAACTCTGTAAATTTTACAAACGTGGAGCTAAAAATGGGTGTAGCAGTAGCCGAGCATCATTCACAAAAACACACAGCTATCACTAACACAYCTTAGCTTAAACTTTTGGCATTCATTAGCATTTAAGAAAAATAATGCTAACTCTATTTACCTAAAGTTATACCATGTTGTCAGTTTCTTACCAATATAACATCCTGCTGTTTTTTTATACTTTATATAATTTTTGTCATGAAATAACATCAATAAAAGGGTTCTCAAACCTTAACTTTTTTATGGAAGCCAAACCAGTCAACACACTTTGATTTAGCTGCTGACATTTTTATTTGTGACTGTCAGTGTTAAGTTTCATTTGTCATCACTGCTTCATCCGCTGTAAAACCAAACATCCGTTGGAGGATTTAATGTGCAAATATATAACACAATAATTTAATAGCTAGTTCAGATGACTGGGAAGTGAATATATTTTATTTAGCTGTTGTCTGTGGGAGGAGATAACATGATCTGCAGTAAATAAAAAAAACAACACTAAGCTGATTTAATACGCCCAGGAGGAGCTCTGCTACAAAGCTAATGCAATTTTATGCAACTATTTGATCATCGGAGCTCTAGAAATGATCCACCTGTGAAAAGGGTTGTTATTCTGGCTATGAATTTGGTTCAAATAGTTGTGATTTTAAATTAGTTTGTGTTTGAGAATAAATAGAAACAAATAGATGATAATTTTTTTCAAAAAGAAAAAAATCGTATAGGTCTTCCGTCAAGAAGTCCTATACAATTTTTTTCTTTTTGATTTTTTACCTGGATTACTGAGATGCATCAGGACATGATAATTTTTTCCACAAGTTTCATTTATATTTGCAGGAAATGTTTATAGGTCTATAAGTCATTATTTACAGGTCTCTTCTACATGAGACTACCTGTCTAAACTGAGATTACCTATCTAAATAAAAGNAATCGTATAGGTCTTCCGTCAAGAAGTCCTATACAATTTTTTTCTTTTTGATTTTTTACCTGGATTACTGAGATGCATCAGGACATGATAATTTTATTTACAGGTCTCTTCTACATGAGACTACCTGTCTAAACTGAGATTACCTATCTAAATAAAAGTAAATTAAAAATATATATGTATTATAAGTTGAAATTATAGCATACTTCCATTATATTTGCTTGGCTAAAAATAATACGTGTGCCTAAAGCAGGGGTCTTCAACGTTGGGGTCTTGAAGGTACTGCAGGGCAAGGAGGGTGAGAAATCTTTGGTTAATTTGACATTTTTAATACATTTTTGTTATTTGAAAATTATGTATTTCAACACACATTAATATGAATTGAAGCTAATTGATAAATTTAGGCATAAAATAATAGATTTCAGTCAGAAATGCAAACATTCCGTGAGGACACCAGCTGAGCTCTGCTGCACTTACACCCTGACCCAACTATATATTTATATATATTAGGGGGGCCTCTATCAGTTAGGGGGTCTCAGCCTGAAAAACATTGAAGACCCCTGGTTTAAAGTGTTGGAAGCCAAATATAAAAGACCTGACAGCTTTCTAACTCAGAGAATAAGTGTTATAAGAAAAGAAAAAAMCCCCAACAACAATAACGTTTATTTGAAAAGTGGAACATTTAAGACAAAAAAATTTATACTTGAGATTGGAATAAATTTAAACAAAACCAAATTCTAGTTTAGTAAATCTATTCATTTTCATTTAAAAACAAAACAAATACTATACATACAACAAATAATACAAATCACAAATAAAATTAAAGGTAGTTAAAATTAAAAAATATTTTGACTGCAAGAGCTGCAGTACATTTGCTTGTACATGCAGTATTTTCAGACGTTAATGCAGTCTCCATCTGCGGTATTTCTAATAATAGCTTGTTTGGCTGCAAGAGTTCAGTCGTCTTGTTCACAACAAATAGTTGGGAARAAAAAACACACTCAGAAGCTTCTTGACCCGAACTTGTTTGTGCTTTTCAGTGCATCTGTGTGTGAGTGTGTGTGTACATTGTTAATTAGAAAGTGGACTGGAATCTGGTTTCGAAACACCATGGCCTTCTGCCTATCAGGTGTGTGTTTGTGTATGTGTGGGTGGATGGGTGGGTGGGGGTACAGAAAGGTCCTGATGACAGGCTTATATAAGCAGGTGGATTGTAGAGAGAAGTAACAAAGTGGCCTGTAGAGCTTTGAACATCCCTACTACACACACATAATAAATGTGTGTGTGTATGTGTGTGTGTGTGTGTGTGTACGTGAGAGAGAGACATTACAAGTGTATAATCTTTGCTTGCTTGTTTCTTACAAGTTTGTCCCGTGTCTGTGTAGCAATGAGGCATAGCTAACCAGGTTCTTGTCTGACAACCACACACACACTCATCAATAATGCAGTATTGGTTTTTGCCCGCCCCTGAGCAGCAGTCACAGCAGTGTGTGGGACTGTAGAGCTTCAGAGAGCACTTAGGAGAAGAGAGGATCGCCGTGTCTCTCCGAGGGACCGAGGGCACTGCTATCTGGGCGATTAGCTGTGCAACGCTTCCACGGCGAGAGGGATTGAAGGTGAAAGAGAAGCGTTGGGCTCAGGAGGGATGAAGTGTGGGCGGAAAAACCAAAAACGCAGGCGGCTGGCTTAGTGTTTTGGTGAAAGGGCAGGCAGAGAGAGGGTGAGAGAGAGAGAGAAAACACGGCAAAGAGCAGCTCAGGCAGCAAGGTAGGAAGGTGGAACCGGCGAGTAGATGACAAAAGAGGCTGTCAGAAAGACAAAGATGTTCAACAAGATGGAAGAATAAGAGAAGCAGAGCGAGCAGGGAAAGCAGCGAGAGGTGCTAATAATGAGATCTGAGAGACAGTGGATGTCTTTGTGTTTCCAGGTGATGGGATCTTGCTCTGTGACATCTCCATTCACACGCTGATGATTTGATTTGAGACTCAGCTGCTGATTTTCACTCATGACACCTGCTTTTCAGGTGCTCTAAACAGTCGTCACAGCTTTACATTCCTCTTCTTCCCTCTTATTCTACCTCTTCTCTCTGTATCACTGCCCCTTAATGGGCTCGACACACGGGAGACGACGTCGTTCCCTCTCCATTTTTTTCTTATGGAACTCGTGAGGCGATGAGGCGACAACCGCCTGCCCTCCGACCAGCAAAATTTGGTCAAATTTTGAGCTCATCCATGTAGACTTGCACATGCTGGCACAAGAAAGTKGAAAAATGTTCAACTTTTGTCAATAGGCGTGATTACATGCGCAAAATCCTTTGATCGGATTGAAGTGTATTTGAATTAAATAATCCGAATGTATTGTTTACATGGACACAAAACTAATTCATGCAATCATAATGAGCGTTTACATGCAATTCAAWTCAATTCATTTCAGTTTATATGACWTATTAGCATCTAGCCAGGTGGAAATATGTCAGGTTGATATCAGATGATAGGTCAGTTTTCCAGCATCAGAATAATATGATCAGAACAAGTGTTTACATGCACACCATTCAAATTATTAATCAAAATAAACCACCCCTCTCATTTGGATAAAAAATATTTCTGAACAAGTTGAATCAGATCAGAATATTTCGAATGGGACGTTTACATGACATATTTTTATTCAGATTGGTCATTTATTCTGATTACTTATGTCCATGTAAACATGGCCACTGTTGCAAGGCGCTACAACCAGTCAGTGACTAATAAGTGCAGAGTATGCTATGGAAACCGCTTTCAACATGGAGAAAAACATTATTTTTGCTGTGTCCACTCAATGGAGCGATTACGAGGTACAGGTAAAAAGGMAGCTGGATGGGTACTTGTTGGCGCCAGGCTGAAGTTGTCCCGCAAGTTTCCTTCACATGAAGTTGTATCTTAGTGTGCGTTTTCGTGAGTTTCTCAATGTTCTCATTAGCATCACAAAATTTGTTTACATATCCCATCGTTTACGTATAGTGATCAATATGAACCAAATTGAACCAATTTGAACCAATCAAATTTCGTGGATACAAGAAAACTGGGAGTGTGATCCGCAACGCTGTCATCACTATTGCATCCCATGTGTTGGGTTTCACCCTGGTGGCATTGACTGCCACCTGTCGCTTTCGTTTGTTGCAGCAGAAAATCAGCACGCAAATGTCATTTGCAAGGACGCAACAACTGCAGCTGAATGCACAAACACACAAACATCACACACCTGATCTTTCCCTCCTGTGGCAGTTCGTGTGGCGGGTCGTCAGACAGCAGCCTCAAGTCTCCCTCCAACGTGTAGACGCATACGCACTCCTGGAGTAAAGCACACAAAGAGACGTGAATGTTTGAAAAAATGAAAAAGACTAACTGATTTAATGAGCGATGAGTCTCATCTGCTCATAAAATCTGTTCCCTGCTGCGATGTCAGGACTCAGACGTTGACGTTCACCACGCTGAATACTAACAGGAAGCTTTTCTTTCAGGTAATAAATTGATGTAATTTCAATTATGTTCACTTGCAAATGTATGTGTGTGTGTGTGTGTGTGTGTGCGAGGTAATACCGTGCCAGGAAGCAGTTCCTGTATGCTGTCCCGCAGGGCCACTCGAAGCGAGCGTACATCAACAACTGCCGCGAGCCGCAACAGAGCATCCTGCAGAGGAAGACAAACAGATTCCCTGATGTATGCTTAGCTGTTTGTTTATGATCTCGGAAAGAAAAAAAAAACCAGAGACCTTGGCTGTAATTTTATTTTCTTTGTTGGTACAATGTTGAACGCTGCCACAGCTCTTCCTCAATATTTACCTTGGAATGCTGCGAATTCCTCTGAAACAATATTTAAACTGTGTCCCACTTGGCACTCGGTGGAAGCGAGCAACACAAGTGCGGTGCTTCGAAATGAAGCAAACTCGGTTGTCGTTAGGCTTTAGTGGCGTTAGTTTTGCTCTTCACAACAASTCGGTGCTTTTGTTTCATTCCGGAGCTGTGAAAACAAAGCCCTTGACAATTCATTTGCAGCGTTTGGTAGGACGCTGATTCGTGAAATGAACTGAAAGTGCATGTGGAAAGTAACAGTGGTTTTCATTGAAGCACTTCATTTACACAGAAGAGTTGGGAAATTGGGCRCTGATCTTCGCAGCAGTTTGACGGTAATTTGAAGTTGACTGAAAAAAAAATACGGCATTCCACATCGCTTTAAAAAAATCCAAAAAACACCAGCTTAAAGAGAAAAGCTGACAATTTTAGCTGAAAACAAACCAGGATGTAGTAGATCCACAACACAGAGCTTTATGCCACCTGGGAGCGTGTCGTCAAAATACGTGCAAGAGTTTTAAAAGAAAGGCAACTTRTTTGTCTTGTCTCTATTCGTTCTTCTGCTATGAGACTGCTATAAAGCTTGTGCAATGACATCATCAAAACTATTCTATGATGATAAAGAGTGTGTATTTCATACAGATATGATCCATTAAACATGACCTTTAGGCTGGGCAGTATGATGGTATTGTGGTACACCTCTGCACGGAAATATGGTGACAGTTTTTAAAAATTATGATAGAGCCTGACCTATTTAAGTTGCTCTAGCCAGAAAGATACACCTTCTCTGAGACTCTTTTCAATTTGTGTCAAAAGCAGACTTCAAACCAGTGTTTAAACTGTGTTGATAGGCCAAAGAAAACCAGATTTATTTATTTATTTACTCTTATTTAACCAGGAAAATCCCTTAGATAAATACAGTAGTATGTCACTTTTTTTTCTGAACATGAAGCACGTTGCAGTCAGTGGCAGGCAGCAGGAAACAAAACAGTCTCATGGAAAAAAAAACACCTGAATCTGCCAAACAAAACCCCCCAACCTCCTTTCTGACCGAGGCTCAAAATTATTTGACAAGTGCCCAAAAAATCTACAGGYAGAAGAAAATAAAAAGACGCAAAAGTTGAATAATGTTTGGTGGCAATGGAGAGACGGTATAACCTAAAGATGGCATGCTGGTATAAAAACAATCAAAACTGCCCAACTCTAATGACATTATCACAGCTTGTTTGKTGTGTTGATTTTATTCCTAAAGTCCAAGTCGAAAGCACTCCAGAGTTTGAGCATAAAATGAGTCACGACCATCACATGTGGTAACAGGATAAAAGTAGACAGTACTGAGGTGACAGAGGACACTTCCTGTACAGGAGCTGTAAGGAGAGGGTTGGTTTCTAGTTTGTAAATTTTACTGTAAAATTAACCAAGTTTTAACTAAAACTGCACATGAATAAACTAACAAAAAAWMTTGCTTTAATATGGGATAAACATACAGTAAATCACATTATGTCTTTGTGGACAATGTGTTATTGTAATCATCATGGTGATCATTGACCTTTTTTCACAGCTCATGCAAACCTCCATCCTCCCAAAAAAGTAATATTCATCTCATACAGGACATTTCAGTGAATTTCTTCAGTCTTTGTGACCTGATACTAACACACTAGAATGCTCCCCCACATACATTTTGTTTTACCAAAGCACGGGCTCTGCTTGATTCTGACCAAGTCCCGACAGAAAGAGTAAAAGTTGTCTCTCAGCCACTAACGCTGGTTTCAGTAAGTTTTCTACTTAGCAATTGTCATAGCTTACTGTACATTTTACTCATGCAATGCATTCCAAAGATATACTGTTTTCAAACTTTTTTCACATGGGTCTGTTTTGGTAAAGTAAACTCTTGTAACAGAAATGATTGCCTGTTGGAGTTTTAGCTCTGCCAAATGCTGGTGACCTTACAGGARATTTTTGATTCAGCAGACGCTGGAGCTGCTCTGCTTGTGTGCTGATTGTGCTTGCATGCTCTGTGTGCAAAGAAACTGTTTATACCTGTTCTAAGCAGACGGACATGAGAGAGCTGTATGAAGTGCATGAAAGACTTTTTAAAGCCTGCACGCCAGGATGCTGGCCAGAGGAGGTGACTTATGGAGGTAATTTATATGTCAGGAAAGTTTAGTGGATGGATGATTCAAATACAGCAGATAAATATGCCATTTGAATCATACTTATCCCATAAAAAGGACATTTTAACTACTTATAAAGCTTTTTTGTTTGTTTGTTCTTGGTTCTCCAGTGGAAAGAAGATTAATTTGCCGACAGGAAAGAGTAACAAGTGAATAAGAAAACAGGAGAATTCAACCCTGAAACAAGAAGATAAAGTCTAAAAGTTTCCATCCACCATTAAGATTTCAGTCAGGCACACAGAGCTGCTCAGAGTAGTAACTTTATTAGACCTAACATCCCATATAACATTAATACATTTATACCATAAGCAATTTTTACACTTGGTCTTCTTAAATTTCAATCATTTCATGAAACTATCATCTGCAGAAACATCTCAGTGGGACTTTAAAACCTGATCAAAGGAATGAAAAACAAGGGAAGAAATCAAAAAGGTCTAATATGCTGCAACTTAGAAAACTGTACTGAATATAAATGGTAAAAAAGTGCTGTTGAAACTGAAGCACCTGTTTGTTTGGGCTCCACAACATATCAAAATTATAGTAATATCGGTGTGTGCGATATTATTATAGAAATGTGATGTTATATTCCGAGAGCCATGAAAGCTGATAATATATTTGGCCAATCCGATGAGCATAAACTGCTCTTGTATATTTGTCATTTGCTTTCTAATTACTTTAAAAAAAAGTTGAATAAAAAATCCTTAGTGAAGCAGGAAGTCCTCATAAGGCTGCTTCCAGGTTTTTCTGAGATCCTCCGTCTGCTACTGCTCCTTTAGGAAAATTTTAAACCCGCTCCTGTTTTTTTTTCCTACTCCATCTGCATTTCAGTCTCGTTCTGGACTAAAGATAAAATATTGATAATGAGGGAATCGGTGATGGAGGATAACGTGTGTGTGTGTAGTGGCTGCGGTGTGTGTGTGTGTGTGTGTGTGTGTGTGTGTGTGCGTGTTTGTGGATGTATAATACCAGCCATAAGACGTGTGCCTTGGTAAATGTCAGCCTCTGTCCTATGACCTTTCACAATGATTTCTTGCCATGCACCTCAAACCATCTGTTACATTAATTTACCTGCCTCTCCACCCATCACTGCACACACAAACAAACATACACACGATCATGCAAACACATACACACCCACAAAGTTGCAAACTTAAAAATAAAACAACATAGAACTTGATGAAAACTAAAGCAGATTTGAGTGTGTGTTTTATGTGAAATAATCTAAAATCAGAATTTGATTAAAGAAGGAATTAAATGTGGTGTTGTTGAGGTGCAATGTACACAAAGCAATGAAATAAAAAAAATAAAAGAAAAATAGATTTTACACATGAAATCAGTGCCTTTGTTAACTAATTACTGTACATCTCTGGATGGCCTCCRGTCTCTGCACATGAAACCTAAATTTCAACAAATGTCACACTGAGTCATCTTTGGAGGAATTTTTTTCCCACACTGTCTGCTTCTCGTCCACTTCTTTTACTTATTTCTTCCCATCTTCCTAAATTACTACATGTAATATTTTACTCCAGCCTCTTAAGAAGGTCTGCTGATCTTGAAGTTTCCAGTTCCTTTTAYCGAGGTGAGGCTTTGCAGTTGTCTCTATCAGCAGACTTCCTAATCACTCGCAGCACTCTGACATTTCTGAAGGGTAACCTGCGATCAGCGTGGCTAAACACWGATTCCGCTCTGCTTTATCTTTCTCGGCCTTGATTCAAACACACTCACACATTTCCCATGTCAGATGCTTAAGGTAGCCAGTTAACCTCAGCTTAAACTGAAACTCCCTTCATTGTGAGATTTTAAACGTCACACTGCCTTTTAAAGTTGTTGTTAAGAAAACCAAGGGCTGAAGAGGTCAAAAAGTTAAAACTAACTGTAAAACAATTGTAGAAGTTCCTTTATTGCAATTCAATAACAGATCAATATACAAACACACAAAAAAGTTCAGCAYCCAGAAGGAATGGTGTAAATTTAGTATTGCCTCTAGTATTATCTAACGGGGGTGCTAAAGTTTTATTTTTGTTCTTTAAACAAGAATCCATATTTTACATTTAATGAGATGGGAGAAAGAAATAGTGAGCAGCAGCACTCTGTGTCAAACTCAAGGCCCGCTGGCAAAATGTGGCCCGCCACAGCATTTTATGTGGTCTGTGAGAACTTCAAAGATGCATTAACGTTGCTGCTTTAAAGCCAGCACTGACCTTAAACTACATACATTACAGTCATGATGCATGTCATCTATTTTAACAGTGAAATGACAGCATCCCACTACAAGGTAGAGCTGCACAGGWTTCAAAAATGTGTAAAATCTCCATTTACAGTAACTGCATTTTTGCTGGCTACCTGTGCTGCAGCCTTGTTGTACTGGAAAGTGGGAATTTTCCACTAACAACTTGTAAATTCAACTGGATTTCCCCTCCAGTGGGAATTCCGTCAGAAAATGGGAGAGTTCAGAAATAAAGATGGCAGCTACTCACCACAACCCAACAGTARCTGCGTTTCCATTGACCATGAAAAGGCGCAAATTGGAATTTCAAAAATAAATTTGCTTAATGGAAACACGTCAATTTCGAAAAAGCTTCCTTTTTTCGACAAAATGTTTTTGTGCTAGAATAAGGTGTTTGTTTGGACTTATCGAAATAGGTATTTTCCCCCAAAACTGCAA